TATATATATAGAACAATGAAATTGAAAAGACATGATGAAAAAAATTAAACCACGGGAGCTGTTTGGTTGGGCTCATTGCCCACTAATGCCCAGATAAAGTCTGACTGACATATCTATGCGGCGAGTAAGATAGATTCCAGAGCTCCAAAAAAATCTGAAGCCGTATGAAAATAACGATGAGGATAAAATAGCTGGACTTACTGTGTAAAGCGCATCGGTGAATGGCAAACATAAAATTGTTGTACTTATGTGTCCATTAAAAATAAATTTAATTTGAGTTTTCAAATGCTAATCCTAATATTGTTGCATTCATAGGCTCATTTTACTAGTGCCTTCAGTAGTCTAAATAAGACAGGTATTATCAAAAAAGATTAAGAACAATACCAGACAGTATTTCGTTTTTCGAGAAACCGACTTTTGACACGACCCAATGGGTATTATTATAGTTTTCGGACAAAGAAAATTGTACCCTTTATAAAGGGTAACCACATATCTAGCACTCTATTCTCATCTCTATAAATATATGTGTGTGTGTAGGTGTAGAGACAATGTCTACACATGTTTCCTTCACACATTAAGATGATCTATCGTCGAATTCTACCACTATCTCATCAAAGATACACTAAAACATCCTGCGTTTTATTTTTCATATGGAGACCTGCTATGCGAAGGAAAATGCCGGTTGTTTAGTTCAGACGCTGATTGAAACACTGGCTCGATTTACTTTAAAGTCAGGTCCTCCATAAGCGTCTCACAGAGTTTTCTAGTAGTTTTATAGAAAATATTTCCGTATCACCGACATGTACTTCGTGGAAGTTATCGCTCCAGCGCCTCTCGATTTATACCCATACTCGCTGAGGCCTCACTGCTTCCCCGTAACAGTCTGATGAAAGATTTGAACAGCATGATCAAATACCACACCGCGCTCTTCAGGAACAGATTCCTTCACCTGTACATCGTACAGTCACACCGTTGACGTGTCGAATCGAAGTCATCAACATTCACAGTAGCGCGAGTGCCAGAATTGATTCAAGAACGAAGAAGGAATGAAAAAAAATTATATTAGTGATCTCAGCTCAGCTGGACGATAGATAATAATAAATGACACAAATCGGTAGTCATGTTGTTAGTCCACTGAGCCAAACGGGTGCAAAAAGGCAGTGGGCAAACATTGGTTGACGTTTTAAAAATTAGCGCTAGCAGGGGAATATTGTAGTTGGTTTATCGTGTTTTGGTTAGGTAAATACGGTTAGTAAACGCGACGCAGCGTTTACCAATCCGTTCACGGCGTTCACAATACGAAGGCTTTTCATGGACAATCTTTTCCGTATCACCAAGGAATCATATTGATTTCGTAAGTTTTTAGCAATTAGTTACTAGTTATTATGTACTTCAAATAAATGTACACACACGCATAGACATATTAACGATATAACTGAGATTGCTTAATATAAGTCACGATTATAAAATGGAATGAGAGTATTTCAGGCACAATTGATCTGAATTTGAGAAGCATTTCGAATCTATCACAGAGAGTAGTCTCTTCATATAAATGGATAGTTATGTGCAAATGCTACAGAACATTCGAAGTGACCGAGTGACTACTTAAATGAATGTTTCAACTTTTACGTCCGGTGTCATACATTGCCTCAAACGGCTGGCTTTCAACAGTGTTGCTGGAAATGGAACTGTGTAACAATTTCCCACACTTCAATAAGTTGGTAACAATTGAAGTGATTTGTAGCTTCATGGCTGGCATATTTCCTACCTCAATTGATTTACTTTACTTCGAGAACCCGTATGACCTTCACGTATCCCTTAGGTAAAGTAATTAACTGTCCTCGATGTGAATCTAATATTTATAATAAAATGTGATCATTAAAAACATTTACCGCACAACACCATCGATGTACCAACAACTGGCACACGTTCAAAAGACTCCGCAAATTTACAACTTTTGTTATAGTTATTATTGCACCGTTGCTCTTAGGGCTATATTCTGGGCTTTTTTACCACTAGAATATGTTCTACTTCAGTCTTACAATATATTGCTAATCGAAATTACTGATGTTACTTTGTCCTATACAAAGGCAAGGCGCCACTTCTGTAGTATGCACATACCGCAGCTAGTCGTTTTCTAAGCATCAGGTCCCTGCGTGCACTGAACGCCCGAGCGTATGGCCCTCCAGCGCGCTCGAGGGCGTCGCGCAACTGAGCGGCTTCCCGACTCAACGCGACGTGAAGGCCGGCCACGGTGCTCTGCATAGCTGCACCCGGAGGCAAAGCTCGTTCTACTTGTTCCGCCAGCGCTCTACCACAAAGATCGTACGATAAACCGATGCGTAATAAAACGGCATGAGCACGCCAGTGTGAACGAGCTCCTAGAAACAAGAGAGTATGCAAACAAATATAAAGGGGTTTCACATAGAGGAACAGTGGTTAACTCGGATAGACTGAAGGCATTTGTATATACAGGAAATATAACCGCAACTTAACTTGACTCTGATGCCTTCCTCCATTGTGCAAGTTGCTTTAGCGGCAAAATAAAACCTTGACTCTAGCTTCTAAACTTCTGCCTCCATACAAAACAATTAAATATGCATATTAATTCAAGTACGGTAGAAAATTTGCAGACGTAGAATCTCAAAAAGAAGCAAATTCAATCAAGTACCAGTGGATCGAAATGCCGTTTCGTTGTGTTCCTGACCAGGACCGCTCTGATCCGTAGGGTCACCCTGACTTGTGTGGCCTGCATGTGGAGTCTTCTTAACCAACGACTCCCAGTCAATCTCAAGAGCATCGTAAATTGGCGCTGGTTGGAACTGCTTCCTACGCTGTTCCGCACCCCCGCCACCACTCTCCTCGGACGACTCGGCTATCGATGAGATCAACAAAAATTTAAAATAATTAAATCCAGTTTTATCAATACGAATTTTCTAACTTCGGTAACTTTGTTTTATTAGGATTTGAATGAATTAGACGCTTGAGTTTTCGGCCATATAGAAATAAGCGCTGGATGTAGTTATCCTTGTCAATGACAACAATTAAACATGATAAATATATTGGAACATTTCTTTTAGCTTATTTTCATAGCATGCTTATAGTGGAAATGAGTCGTAAGCGCAGAGCAGCATCGGCTTACCCATTGGCTCATTATCCTCCTCGATCAAAGCCTCCAGATCGTCATCTGAAATTGCTTCGGCTTCCTCTAGAAGTCCGCCTCGTTTTCTGCCGATTCCGAGCGTTGACGCCTCATCACCGGTCGTCATCTCTTCGAACGTTTCGTCGCCGCCGTCGTCTGAGATGCGTTTGTCACTTGTATCAGCTTTGTTATCTTTTGCAGTGCTTTCGCTATCTCCTACCAGTAGTTCATTTTCAATATCGCTAGTGTCCTCGAGGCCTTCGTCCTTTGAATGGCCATCGGAAAATTGAGACTTCTTTTCTTCTCGATCCATCTCTTTAACCAGGAGGCCATCCTCCTCAGAACTCCAGTCGGAAAATTGCTCCTTTTCTGCTTCGTCACCGCTATCGATATCATTCTTCTCAATCTCGTCGCATAACGCTGGTGATTTTGTTTTGCTATCGTGCTCTTCCGTTGTGCTAGCAGTATCCGCCTATCAAGAACACATACATACGAAAACGTATACAATTATATATACTCTTGTATACTTATTATAGTTTCGGTTAGTTATGTGTCAATGCAGCAAATAGTCTCTATGTCTTTAGCTATACAGATCTTTAAAATGTATCTTTAGAGTAGAAATTCCACTTTCTTCGTTATCGTGTGAGCGTGTCGTCAGTTTTGAAAACTTCCTACTTGCTATAAATGATAACTGCCCGCAAACAACTGTACCACGTGCAATAGCATACTTTTTCAGCGTGTCCTTTTTCTGCATTGCTAGCCTCAGCAACATTTTTACTTCCACCGGAACTCGCCTCAGTAACGCCAGCTTCGTTTTCCTTTGATCCTGCACTGGCTTCCTCTGAGGGTTGGTCATCACCATCATCCTCGCCCATGTGAGCTTCTTCGACGAGCACGCTTGAAATGCTTTCATCATTTGATGAATCTTCACCTTCGCGCTCTGCCGTACCTTCTGTACTTGCTCGTTTTCGGCGGGCAGCGGGCACAGCAGTCTCGTCATCGTCTTCTCCTCCATCTGAATCTCCTTTAATGTTATCACGTCCTCCACTGAAGGACGTTCTATTCTCATGAGTCTCATCTCGATGATGATCGGGGCTAACTGATCGGAAGGGGCCTCGGCCAGGGGCACCGTCGCCTCCTATGAAATGTCCGCCTGATGGCCCATGATGCCCTCCATGATGGGGGTGCGTCCTTCGGCCAAAATGAGCCCCGGGTGGACCCATGCCATGTCTACCGAGGGGCCCCCGACCTGAGGCAGCATGTACAGGCATCCCAACAGGGGAAGGAGATCTGCAATGGCACATTATCAAAAAAATATTATTGAAAATACATCGAAATAGCTTATAGAGCGAAAAGCTTATAGGCATATATGTTTTTTATTTTAACTATACACGTGTCATTCAGGGGAAACCAGAGCAATATGTCTTAGCGCTGCAGACATCTGTGCCGTCTCACCGAAATCCAGCAGATGGTGGTCCTGTGACGTACAGTCCTGCTGTTTGTCCCTGTCTGCCCCTGCCTCGAAATTCATGGTCTGGGTGTTGCTGTCCCCTTGTGCTCCTGTAGTTAGTCATCGAGCCTCCATGACCCCCGTACGGGGGTGAAAGTGATCGACCACCACGCCCACTGTGAACCCCATTCATTCCTCCGGGTGGTGACACCTAAAAGACGTTGTGACGAAAAAGCGGATAAATGAGGCATTATGAAAATAGCGCATTTCTTTTCGCCGAAAAAATTATAATGAAGCCAACAATAATGATTAGAGAGATGAACGTTACAACCTAATTTTTGTAAATTTGCGAAGTCCCCTTTTCACCTGTGTTAGGCGTCGTGTTTGAGACATCAGCAATAGCAAGCGTAGCAGATTCATTGAATGCAAACTTAATTTCGTTTCGGTTGTCTTCGCAACAACCATCTTCGTTGTCATTAAGTTTACAAACTTATCTTTGATGTTTGGTCTTTTTTGTTTGGCATATTAACCCCACCTGTCTCCTGTGCATCCTGTGCGGAGCTATATCGGGTGGCACAGCACTGTTTCCCCCTATGGAAATAGAGGGTCCTCCATATGAACTCCTCCTGCGTCGTCTTCGTCTCCGTTCGCGCGTATCGTCGCGGGCCTCCCTTTCGCTTTCACTGCCCGATCCGCTGCCACTCGACGAAGAGGAGCCCGATGAAGACGAAGACGATGAAGAGGAATTTCCCCTTCGGTGAGCATCAGGCCCAACGCCGATTGTAGCCGTCCCAGCGATATTATCTCTGTTCTGCAAGAGGTCCAGCTGCCTCTGCAGCTGAAGGCGCTTCCTCTCAAGATCATCGCCGTCTACTGTTTGGCCTTCTTCAAGCTCCGAGCCATCGTCAGATACCATGCCTTCTTCGGGCGACCTACACAGTGTCAAAATAAAGCAAGAATGTGCTGAAGTTTGTTTATACACATATATATATATCAATTCTCTAATTACTGTAAGAAGTTTGGTAACTAAGTTTTATCGCGGCGATAATAGACACAGGAGACAGCTGAGTGTAACTAGGTAGTTAACGCCTGTCCCGGCGATAGCTTAGTATTCGCCTGCTAGTTTTAGGGACAAGTTGTGGTCTAGGTTCGGATCCGGGCATAGACAGACTTCGTTTCATGCTTGGAGCCAGGCGCCTTATGGAATGCTTGACGGCGATACCAGACGTAAAACTCGAAATTTAAAGAGAGATGCCCAACGGCTATATGGCTTTAAGTTTTTCTAACACAAGTAAGACGAGTAAGTATGGCGGCTAACCACGATGACACAAAAATCCACCTTGCTCTAAATAACACAAAAGCTCGATAGGTCCTTGTTTGTTGGTTGGAACGTTTGAGTCCGTCAAGGTATGTTCAGTGGCACCAATGTATCGACATCAACTGCGAGGAGACTTACCGTATTGTAGACGTCAGAAGATGCAAGCGCAATTACATCGCAGATTTGTGTCAGATTAGTAACATGAAAGCAGTAATCAGTGACAATAGAGATATAACAATATAAATTTATTAACAGCGATTATTTCCGGCTATGAACGCGTGTTCTTTCGGGGAGCAGATTTTGCCTAATCGAAACTGCTAAGTACACTAACCTGAGTCGTTTCTTGGACTTGAGAACCTTGAGCTCATTATCGTCGGTTGTTGGGCTACGATGGCGACTTTTCTTGTGGCGTCGGTGCTTTCTCTGAAAACAGAACAGCGTAGCACGCAATACCATTAGATAGCTTCTTAAGTATATTAACGTAGTGACAATCTAACCTATCTGGGTGCAAAGTCTAACAAAAAAGTAACATACCCGTACGTGTCCGGGCTCGCTTATATCGGCCTCCGGGGGTGGCGAGAGTTCCGGTCCAGCGTGCGGTCTTTTATGCTTGCGCGAATGGCCATGATGCTGCTGATAGCCGTGACCACCTGGAGGGTGACGTTCTCTCCGTTCACCTCGAGCTGTTACCAACGGATCGCGGGAATCCCTCAGGTCCCTTTGCTCGCGTTCATCGATGCCCCCCTTCCCCGGATGTAAATATCGACACTTCAATCCAAACTGACACCGTCCGTGCATAAAATTGCGACATACTTCGGGTGATTGAACCACGCGCTGCGACCAGCCAAACACGAAAACAAACAAAAAGAAACAAAAAAAAAGTAATCCCTGTTAGGTAATTTATATTTCTCGGGACTAATTAAGGATTACATTGTCTTATATTGAATGCATTTGAACCTCATATGCAAACGGTGAAATCTTTCTGCTACTTTAAGCCGATGTTGACTACGCTGCCACACGTTTTTCACTTTTTGTTGTTGTTATTGATTTCAAGCAATAGGCGATTTTAGGTTTGTGTACGAAAAGTTAAAAGCCTAAACAAATGTTTTTTTAACATACGATAAGGAGTAGGTCTTCTATGTGATAATATTTTATAATAAACGGATTGCATATATTTAAAGTGTAAGACTGTTTTTTTGCCTGAAACATTAAGGCGATCGTTTTTGTGAAATGATTATGATTATAGTTGTATACGTCTAAGATAAGCATACGATTCACATAGAGTAAGCGACACGGAAGTAACGTTCGCTATTTACCATTTGCACTACTTTTAAAAGTTTGCACCCTTGCAGACCTTTTTTTGAGCATTTTTGTTTAAAAATCCATTTTGGAAACAAACGGCAAATCAACGTTTACATGATTATAGTTCGTTATTCGTTAACAAATATTAACTTGTTTACTATGGATTTTTATTCATAACGTGAAATGTTTTCATAGATTACAGGGTATGTGTTCTCAAATACATCTGTATTCATTGATTGAGGTCTTTTTTATTCGGCTGCATTGATCGCTTTAGAAATTCGATTCTGTTTGCGCACAATGTGTATACTTTAGCAACAAATATAAATAATCAAAGAATGATCTTATCCACTATAAAGGTTAAAATGTGGTAGCACATCAATTAAAATATATGAACGATTTGCACTCTGTTTGACAAAACAGCTTATTACACATGAGTAGATACAAATACTGTATTGTGAATAGCATTTTTAACAGCAGCCGAATTTGATTGTGGGCAAAAAACGATAAATCTTTAAAAACATCTAGTTAGCCTTTTGTCTTTGTCAAGTTCCACTAAGCATGTTGCTGTGACACTTGGGAGCATTGTTTTGAATTAGCAGAGATCTCATACAAAATTTTCGAAAAACAAAAATACCATTTCGCATCGCACAGGATCGAGCCAAATAATATCATTATATAATTAACAACTTGTTTTTAATTAAATATTGAACTATTGTTGAATATATTATATAATAAGGACGTTATGCATTTTGAGAGCAAATAAGCTTGTTTCTGTGTGGCTTTCTATAATTTTAAGAAACTTGCGAAGTATTACTGTAGCATTCTGCAATACCTGTAATATGATGCTCATACATAATATAATGCGCGCCAACTAAGATAGTACTATTTATTAATGCAATTTACCGAGTTCTTCTGCAACCTTTTTTCTTACCTGTACGATATAAAATTTAAAATAATGAATTAAAACACTGTGCGTTATTTGAAGAAGACCTTACCTCTGGATAGCTGCCCCCTCCTCCACCAAGTCTGTCGAATACACTTGGCCTTCGAGATGTCATTTTTCCAACTTGTTGATCTTCTGAAGCTCGCTTTTGTATCACAATTCCAATAACACTTTTGTGGCACGGGATGTTCTTTGTTCTTCTTCCTGCTTCGTCGTCCGAACTGCCGGGAGTCTCAATTTCAACAGAGTCGTCACCTTCGACTAGGCTATAGGCGATAGTTCACATTAGCGCCGGCCGTATTCTATATGCCATCATAGTAATAATTACTACTACGACGTCATAGCTCGAAATGATGAACAATAGGTTAGTTATCTAATACACTGCTACGCGCACATGGGTAACGCTTCGACACGTCGTTCACGTGCAAATAATCAGCATCAACATAAAGTATTTCATTCGGCTGCCGGCATTGGTGATAAGCTCGACACAAGAATCATTACAGCATACGAATTCACTGTCGTCTGACTAAAAGTAACGGTAGTATGGGCTACCGAGGCGGAGGCGGTTTCGGCACACGTCTTCTTCTCGTTGTCGTTGTTGTTGTGCGAAGGCAGCTTTCGAAGGAAGCGGAGCAGCAGAGCCTGAACTAAACAGATAGGCAGCACCATGTTGTTTACAAATCGCGACGGGTGCCACCATCTTGGTTTCCATAAAATTCAAATCAAGAAACGGCGCGAAAACGCTCACCGCTCAATGGCCACTAGCCTGACTGTGTGTCTTTCTAGCAGAGGGCAAGGTAAACCTGAGCGTGGGTCGTAAACCCGATCGTATTGACGTGGTGTAATGTGAGGACGTTTGCTATTGTGGTACCCTCTACATATATTTTGAGCAGTAGTCGACTAGCGCAGGAAATGCAATACTATACGAGCGGTTCTCGAACAACAACTCCATAAACGTGCGTCACGTTAACAACACGCGAGCTATTTGGCACTATGCGCACACGTGTTGCAGACCACGCCAATGCTGGCGGTGAACATAAGAAGAAGTGTCATCTGGTGAGGCTACAATAATTCGCAGTATAAAGAGAACGAGACAAGATTTGCGGCTGCGTGGGAAGAGCTAAGATATGCGACGCGGAACCCTCGGAGAACCTTAGGGGAGAAGAAATCCAATTCCAAAAATCTATTCTTGAATATGTATCGTACTTTGTCTTAGGCAGCCAACAATCTTCTCCTTCACCTCTCATTGTCGTCGGTGTAAAAGTTGTTTAAATGGCAAAACAGCAACTAGTTCTGTCACTCTTTGCTAAGCTAAGGTATACAACGGACATACATATAAGGTAAAAAAAGATCAATAATACGTCAGCATGGACGAGCGCAGCGTACATCATCCCATCTGGTTTACCGGCGAAGTATCAGTACCTTCAATATATCTATATACGTGCCGTGCGTATATATATATATTGAAGGTTAGCTGTTTGGTGGAATTATGGATTTCTATTTTATCTTCCATTTTTATAAAATGCAAATGGCGAAAGATTTTTCACACTTTAATATGGCTACCTCTGCACGTCATTGTAGTTCGCAAGGGGCAATCGATACAGATCAGGGACAATCAACGTTCAAAAAGATTCTATTTTATGCCAGGCCTTAAGGTCTACAGAAATCTTATAAAAATTCCTGAAACTTCGAGCACATTCTTGATTAAGCAATGAATGATATTTCATAGATGAACTTATCTGCCCGCGTTGATTAATCAGAAAATCAGAAAAAAATTGGAAAGTGCACAACTAATTTGACTTGACCCACCTCGTAGAACAGCAGGCTTCTTGTGGATTACAGTTGACCAGGCTTCTAATTGGGCAACTAATCATAAATAGTATTTTAAATAAACATATATATAGTGAAAATTTTGGTTATCCAGCTATCGAAGTATTCAATTAAGCCGCCGAAAATTGAAAACATCTATTTACTTCATGCTTTAAAGAAAATGTTTTTTCTAGGAACGCGTCGCTTGTAAGTCGAATATTTGTCTACTTTAACGTACCCCATCAAACCTTCTGGACTTCAGTTCTTAATAGACTATTTGTAAAGAAGCGCCTAACTTAACAGAGGACATACATTTTCTAGAAATTTTCGAATTCCAACAAATCACTTAAATATTCTTTTCATTTATGTTTATTCTTTGCGCATCTACAGTTTAACTCTGTTCTTTCTTATAGTTCGAGCTTACTTGAACTTACTTAGTGGATATTTGCTTATTAAAAGTGTATAGATTTGGTGTGTATAATAAGCTACGCCTAATACTTAGCGCGCAATTATTTATTCAGACTTTCAAAAATATATATGGTGAAGAAGAAATAGCCAATAGTAAAAATGTTGGCAGTCGCAATAATTCGCGTCAGGAAGGAGATATCTTAGGCAATTTCGATTGTTAAAACATTCTCTTCTTCACAGCCTGTGGCAAAACTTTTCCAGAAACATATTCTCCAAACATTTACTTTTTGTTTCGATCACTTTCTTTTTATGTAAGTCTTTTCCCTGGCGAAGCTAGGCAAAAAGTCGCCGGTTAAATGCAGATCAAGTACTCGTCAGACCGAGGTGTTGAGATTCGCAACAAACCGATTCTGTAAGTGCTTTTCTTTTCTTTATCTTTACTTTAGGCACTAATCTGCGCTACGGCTTACTCCAGTAAACCGCTTAATGCAACTAACTCGAGTAGACGAGTTGTTAAATAGATCATAGTCTTAAGAATCAAGAAAATTAGCGTTTGTTCGAAATTAGGTAAGTAAGCGCCATGTCTTGAAGCTATCAGGTATCTAAATTCTAGAATGATCGTCGAGGTAAGGATCTGCCTTTACCTAGAGTAATGGTGCATTTCAACACCGGCAGCTTGCTTCCTCGGAATGATCCTATTAAATACCAGGAGCAAATGGATCGATGGTCCGCCACTAACATTATTTGATTATAGCTTGTCTCGTATGCAACGGTGTTTGGGATTTTGCGCTTTTCCTAGGCGTTTTTATTAAGAAATTTTTATATAATATTTTATTACAGTTTTAGGAACAATTAAATAGTCAGCAACCGCTGTAATGAAACATCAATTTTGCTTCTTGAAACATTACACTTGAAACTTTATGCATGTAATTGGGAGAAGACATTGAAGAAATTGAGTAATCGTCGCCGACTTTTCTAAAGCCTCGAGTTATCCCTCCACGACTCTTCTAGACTTCTTGAGTATTGAAAGTTCCTTGATGAACTTTTTTTCCAGAAGTTATAACATTTTGTTAATATGCACAGAATCGAAAGAGTAAAAGTTGCATGAAAGAAATATGTTACTGTGGTGATGTTTAAAACAAAAAGACCTCCAAACGAACGATCGGCAAATTTTGACAGTCTACACAATGACTTCCCTGTAACCGCTTTTTCAACAATTAATAGGTTTTCTTTCACATAAAAGATGTAGCTGATTTCTGTAAAACTTAAAGACGTGTCTTGTGTTTCGCCTATTGCTAGAATGCCCAGTGTATTATCTACTTACGTCTGTCTGTCTCTCTCTCCCATTCCAGGGCATAAAAAAGGTTTGCAGTACATAAGCTTCTGTTGTTTTTTTCCAATTTTTTAAAAAGCGACCACCTATTGCACTCGTTTTATTATCATGATTGCAAAAGTAAGCATAGCTATCAATCGAGCGAGTAGTAGTAGTGCGCCTTTTATTTTTGTTTTTTAAAAGCCTTGCTGTCCTTTTATTGTTGTTCTTTTTCTTTTAATGATATAATCGTTGGTTAAATGAGTCATTTCTGTCGCGATCATTGGCACTGACCCAGTTTTCGTTTGAAGAAATTTCGCATTTGGTGAGATAGGGCGTTCTGATGCTCAGGTATAGTAGGCATACTAGATCACTAGTAGGTTATCAAGAAGTGGTGAAGTTAACAGACACTGACACATATTTAGTGGGCAGAAAGATAACGGGTTAAGTAATTATGAAAGTAAATAATATTCCTCTATTGATCACACCTTCTCTCATTTTGCATCGGTGTTTTATCCTCTCGAGGGCTGGACGACTTCTCGGGCCTCCGAGCACTCTTCATCTGAAGTTCTGCTGAGATCTGCGGCACAGAAGTTGAACCCGCCAACACAGTCGTTGTGATCATTCGAGCGGATTTCATCCATTGAGCTCGTTTGACGATTTCCTTCGTGTTTCCGTGGATCACGACTGAAGCATAAGCAGACTTCTGGAGGAAAGCGTTTTTCGTATAGCTTTTCGGTATCAGACGCCAAATCAGCCGAAGTAAGAAGTGTGCATATAGATACTAGGGTAGCCGTCAAGCAAGCAAGCATACTGCTGTGTTAGTCCAGTGGCGCTCAGCTCACTGGATTTAGTTGATTCCGGTAATTTAATTGCTGGCGTAATGGAGTTATTATAGCCTTCGCAACTGTTTCGGACGTAGTGTCGTTGGTGCACCTTCTGAGGCACTGCTAATAATTCTGTTGTCGACAATGTTGCACTTTGCTTTGTCCTGTGAGCGTCTCGACCTTTAGATTCAGCAAGCTTGAAATAGGTACACTTATGTAGCCCGAATCTTGTTCCGACTAAGAGGTTTCTGCGACCCACTGTCGAGGCCTAATTCACGCTATGTAATAAATCAGAGGCTTCGTTTTTAAAATTATGATCACCAGTTAAAGTAGAGCACTATAATGGTGTCTTCTTTGCAAGTGGTGTATCTTTCGGTATCAGATGACTACCATCCCTTCGGATCAAGGTAGCCCGACACGTCCGTCCGATTGAATCGGCATCTGCATTACCTTGTTCCCTCACCGTGAACACGGTTGCAAAATACGTTGAAGCCTCGTCATGGGTTCGTTCGGTTATCTCATTCAACTGACCTATGATGGTCTCCTTAGTTTGCTGGCTGCAGAGAGTCGATCTATGCTGGTTACACGCGTTGCCATTTGAAAACTGGTTTAAGCGAGTTTTTTTTCCACTTGTGCTCATAGCTGCGGATTTTTGACATTTATCTAAAGGATATCGTACTGGGGTCAGGACACGCTGAGGTTCGTACAGTTTTGCTGGACAGCCGCAACCGTCATAATGTGTCCTTTGCTGCTTTACTTCAGGAGATTGTTTCTGGGAACGTGTGTTCGTAGAGTGTATCTGTTGCCTTATCATCAGTTCAAAGCTGACAATCTTTTCTCTGTCTTTTAATGGTGTCCGTTGGCGTGTTGTGAGCGATGTATGTTTGTGAATGGGGTCCCGGCCAGCAACAATATGACTGTCGGCTTCGTGGTGATTGCGTCTGGTGAGAGACTGATGGGCGAGTTTGCCACTGGCTCCATGCTGTGGTTGACGGTACGTTATGTTAGGTCTTCCTTCAGGAGTGCGTTCTTTTATCTGCGACAAAGTTGGTCTCTTCGAAGATGTAGATAGTTTCTCGCTGCAGTGAACAAGGTTGTCTTTCTACTGGGGCTCTGGTGGACATGGAGATGGATCGAAAAGCTGAAGAATAGAAAGCAGCAGGAAGTTAAAACGATTCGTCACGTAGCATTAAATGTATTTTGTCTTTTGGAAGAAAAACAGTCATAGTCAGAATACTGCTTGGTGGTGCTGTCGTCGAAATAAATAAAAGTGATAGATACGAATTTAAAGAAAAGCACTTCTGTACGTATGTATGAAAAACGCTTTACACCCTTATCTAAATTGCATACAAATCCATTCGAATCTGATCTCAAAATACCGCGAATTTGGCTCGTCTTGATTGGCTCGCAGAAGACGCATCGTTTGAATCCTCGTTGCAGAAGTCAATGCTGCTTGAGGTAGATAGTCACTGCGACTATCTGCGATGTTATTTTTGTGAAAACTTCTGCTACTGGGGCTGATACAAAGTTTATTGAAATTTCTGTTATCATTGCTGGCGATACAGATGTTGTTGACACTATTTTTGATTTCACCGTTCTGAACTTCTACACTTATTATTTTCGTTTGTTTCCTTTTTGTGTTGGCGATGATTGTATTTCGACAAGAATGTTGCATCGATTGAGCTGGAACGTATTTTGTAATAGTTGCTGCTACTCCGGCTGTTGTTGTTGTTATTGCTATTGTTGTTGCATCTGTTGTTTTGTTGTCGATTTCTTCGATACCGGTCACCGTTGATGCGGTTGTGATAATAATAGCCAATTCGAGGTGATTATCGATCACAGAGATCGCTGCTTCGATAATCATCCATGCAGTAGTTGTTATTATTTCTGCGTAAACAGGCGTCGTAACCACTTACGCCATAATTTAAATAAAATTCCCAATAATTGGCAGATCTTGGGCGCTCGCCATCGCCTTCTTGCACGTCATGGGACAACAATACATATTTTGATGGGCCACATGTATTTTCGGCAAAATGAATTTCAGAAGTCAAATTTGCATCGCTGTCATTCTTATGATTGTTGCTGCGCCTTTGACGATAATGGACTTCGTGCCTCCGGCGCTAGGGGGTACCATTCTTCGAGGTTTCCTGATCTCGGCACTTTTGCATCCGATGTGCATGGCAGTACTTTTCGTTTGCCCTACTTCGATCAGTAGTGCTTTGAAAAGGATCGTTCACCTGTACTTAATGTGATCTTTAGGTTTTTTCCATTCCGTAGTGTCGGCTCTACTGCTTGTTGGTTTGTCCTTTGGCAAGACATTGTTAGCACGCTCCTCCGGTAGAGGACTTCGCGGCCAATCCTGATGTCGCTCCCAAAGAGGGCTTTCGGATCGACAAACGGCGGCCGTGATGATGTTGGCCGCTGGAGGTTCGAGTGGAATCTCAATGGGTTCAGTGACGAGTCCTCAGTTGATGGTTGGTTTAGACTAAAAACAACGAACACGTACCCACATAATAGGTGTATACCAGGCGTCAAACGTTGTTGCTTTTCTCGGCTTCAATACATCAAATAGAGCGTAGAGGTAAGCTAAAAATGAGTAGCTGGACATGTGTCTTCTTTCATGTGTTTTCCCCTACTAATGTGTTGCGGCCAGGCATTCTGGCATCTATAAAAAAATAGAAGAATTCAGTATGTATTGTACGTACGATATCGCATTTCGTTTGTTTTTCGAAGTACATAAGCGTACAACAGAAAAGAAAAAGGTACGTAGAAATAGATAAGCCGGAAGTACAAGTTGGTTTTTCGCACGCAACTTTAGTTCTGACTAAGCTATTACTTACTTTTTCAGCAGCTCCTGGTATCCTAACGAGATTCCACATCTTCAAGATAGCACAGGTCAAGTTCTCTAGCTACTAATAGTTATGATGAAATAACAACGTAGATTACTAGATCACGATTTTTCCCTACGCCTAGATGTAGAACACCACTCCTTCGTGCCCTCGTACGGCTGTGCTCAAATACCCAAAAGGTAAAGAGGAAAATTCTGTTGGTATTGTGGCACACACCACATTATAAGGAACATCAACAACAAGAGTTAGGCCGACGTCAAACAACCGCAACTACGAATTTATAAGATTTCGAGCACTTCACCTCGTCTCCCCCTCCGAGGTGCAACAGTCGACTGCCTCAGGCGGCCGTGACGGCCGCCTTATCGGAAGTGCGCATTTTTTTTAAGTTTTTTTTATGTTGTTGCTGTCGTTGCGATGTACGTTTTCACTGCTTTCTCACTGGTTTTTCCTGTCCGAAACTGCAAACAGACGATTAGCACATCTTAGATAAAAAAGCAGCTTTTTCACAGCTTGTACAGCTACGCCAGTAAATCTTGCTCGTATCATTTGCGCAGTGCAAATAGATGAGCGTTATGATACTAAATTATGCTACTGGCGTCGCGATTACGACGTGGCTTAAACAGAACGAGTGCTTCAGAAAGCACTGACGTATCTTTGCTCAATTGTCGGTGGGGCAAAACAGCTATGTTAGCCGCTGATTGTGCGGCGGCAGCGGCAACGACCGTAGCCACACGCACGCGATGGGTGGCGTGGCGTTGCCAAAGAGAGCGACAAGCAGTTATCCGTTGAATTGACGGATAACTCTGTTGTGTGGTCCGCCTTACGGGGTTATAAGCAGAGCAATGATCTCTTGGACAGACGATGCTTGGGCAGGCCGTGAGCGGCGGGCAAGGAAACAGGCAACGGGGCGACCGTACCTCCGTTTGTGCGCTCGCACGTTCTTTTACTTACTCGTTTCCTCGCTGATCTGAGCGGACGAGAAGCAAACCAAGCCGCTGCTCTCGCTGGGAGGGACACCTGTTGCACGGAAGTCTCCATGGAGATCTCTCAAGAACTAGCTGAAGCGTTAACGTGGGTATAATTGGCATCGCTGTTGTTGTAGTCTTCGCCATCATGATTCTAGTTTCTACAGCTGCCGGTGTTAATCGATGTGTTGCCGTGCGTCGATCGTTTCGAGGCTCTCTCGATTCGTCGTCCACCACTTACATTCGGCATCTTCACGGACGGTGCTCGCGCTCAAACCCATCACATATGCGTTATTTTGCTTGGCCGTGGTCGACATTAGTAACCCCACTTGCGCCGTCAGCTTCTGTCTGCGCTACGTCCGCTCTTGATACTATTAACCGCCTTTGATCTTTTTTGTTAGCTTGGAGACTGGGTCGTCCCACTTCACTGTGTCCAGAACAGCTGATGTTTCTAACATTGACAGTAACGAGGACTCGAGACCAAGATACAAGGAATCGCGACGTAACTTTGCTCAGATTAGCTCACAGGATGTGGGTCATCAGTGAGTGACACATTATATGCTTCTCGCTTCGTGATGGGTGGGCCACTCAAGTAACTTAATGGGGTTACAGCCGATATAAGTACCCCGGTTTGAGAGCTGCTTCGATAAGCCGATAGCATGCAAAAAAATAATATTTAAGGAACACAGAGGGCATTGAAAATATGAAGTTATAGGACAATTTTAATAATATTTATTAGCCCTTACAGAGTCGGTACCCATTTAATTTAATTTTTTGTGCCGTGATAACCTTCCTTTATTTAGTGGGCAATGTTCACTTTATCTAGAGGACGTTTGTGGCTGCAATTTCAAATTTTTTTTTCGTAGCGAATGATATATATTTTCACTAAAGCCATGTTAAATATTGATAATCGAATTATAGTTCATTGGGCTTTTTCTCTTTCAATATCCGTTTCTTTCAGCCTGTCTATAACATACACAAAGTCATAATCTTGATACGAAAAATACGTAGACGTGTCTTATTATGTCATTGATAAAAGTCATAATTTGTTCTGTAGTGAATGGTTTATAGTTGAACATCTTTGCTACCTTACTGGCAGGCCTCGGAGCAAGCTCCTAATTAAAAAAAGAATCCTTGATTTGCTGCACGCACGATATATTTAGAAGATTTAATGATTTAGGTCAGTCCTTTTTATATTACTTCCATACAATGTATTTTTCTCGCGCCAGAGAAAAAACGTCGGAAGAAATTGCTAAACAATAGAAAACATTCAGTTTTGGTCCAGTCAGGAAGTAATTGATAGACATGTAAAACCGTCCTTGTCAAATTGCACTAACCATAATATTAGGTCGTACTTAAAAAAAAGCAGATTTGTATAAATACGTTTGCAGTTTCCGATTAAATCTGTTAGATCTTTTGCTACCCGAGAGAGATGCATTACGTTAGCCCAAATGATTTGAGTCTGTTCGGTTAATATCGCTATCTTGGTTCGAGTGCAATCAGCCATTATTTAATAGTTTGCTTATTGACTTACCGAATGCTAGGGTGTGACTTTTCCTACCTTTACCTACTCACATATTTTAACGTATGCGAGGCGCATCGAAAGGCCCATATAGAACGTGGACGCAATACCTTACCTGCTTGTTAAATTACTCCCTTATTATATTCATATTTTCATGGCTTGTTTTGTTCATCAGAATATAACGTTTTTTTTTCCTTATCTGAAGTTCATTTACTTTGAAATTAAAAATAGTTAACAAAGTGCTTAACGTGATGACTGACTGACGTCATCTATGATGTAGGACATTATGAATTATTTTTCTAGCATTGTTGTTTCTGAAGCCAGCTTGCAATATAGCATCAGATTAGTGAATCGTTAAGGGCTCCACTTTTTCGCGCTTCGTTTGTCACCTTTTGCTCAGTGCTTTCGACGGCCAAGCGTCTACTTTGAAAAAATTAAGGATCCCTGCCTTCGGTGATGCTAGCGACACGAACGGTCCATGATTTTTGTGAACAAAGGGTATTTATTTTTATCATTTCTACTAAAATCTGTTAACCTATTAACTCTTCTAGAGAACTACGAGCATCCATACGTCGCACAACGTATCTATAATAGATGGGTACAACATGGCTCAACAAACATGTTTTCTGTGAAAATCTAAACGACAACGACTATTGAACCCTTGATATTAATAGAAGCAAAGAGTTTATAAAATATTTTCAGGTTCCCTTCATTTCGATTTGCATGTACTCCGAGGCCGTCGGGCCCTCAGACTGCATGAAAGCGAAATCATCTGTACAGCTTTGCCAAGGGAGTGGGTTTGTCTGATGAAGAACTCTAAATGAATATTGGTCTGCGTAAACTTTCATTTTCATGTGATAATGCGTCAGTATCGCTTGCTATGTAGCCAAGGCACTGGCACAAGTTGATTGAAGTAATTCCGCTAAGTTTTAATTCCGAAAAGCGGACTTTGTCACCGTAAAAATCCAAAGAACATAATACTTCCTGAGATTTAATGGACCTCGATATTCGCACAGCTAAGCTATGTTCCTCTCTAAAAACTTCTTGGGCATATACCGAATTGAGCTAGCATGCGGTCGACGTAGGAGGCCTGTTAGGAAATCCTAACATGATGCGCTTGCATTTATAAAGACGTCCACATTTAGGACATGACCCTCAAGTGCTTTTCCAAGAACGAAATATTTAGATCTTTAATCTGTGCTGATGAAACGAGCGCCAATCTTTCCATATCTAGATACCTACTTAGTTCGTTTAGCGTCGTACAATATCATATGAGGCAATTAATAATGCTAAGAGTATGGCGAGCGCCACTACCAACCACTCTCTGCTGGGTAGATAGCTGAAGCTAAATTGTTATTTTGCTTCGATATTATAGGCGATATTAGAGTCGTCGCTGACTCCGTTTACAGGATGATATTTAAATCAAGTATCCCTCTGTAAAAGAATTTAACTCCCGATCACAAGATTTCGTAATAATAATTATCATAATTAGTTATAGTGCAATAATTATAAAGATTATGAAGCTATGCTAAAGACAGCATCGATTGTCGTATATCTGAGAACATTTTGTTAAGAATAAGACGAAACTTCCTGCTCCCTGCTAGACGTTACGTTCGCGAGAAGTCAGATCTCTTTTGCTTTTTTTTTTTTCGATTTTAATTGCAAAGATCAAATCGTTAAGTCATACATGATTCCACTGTCTAGAAGCAAATCACGCCTACAAGTTTGAGGTGTGGGTTCATGGCGTAACGAGTAAAGTCAAAGGGTCTCAGATTCGAATCTTAGCGGGCTCGTCTTTGATTTCTGCTACTTTGGTGTAGCATTTATTTCTGTGCATTATTTTTGTATCGGCCATGGCACATCTGTGTGGAACAACGTAACCAGGTGCACTTCTAGGGTGAAGTAGGGGTCCGTGGTGTATAAGGTAATGCGCGTCGCCACGGTGGAGGATATTTAAGGTTCGAAGTTTAATGGATTCAATTTTCGTCTAATTTCGTTGACTACAGATTTACAATAACAAAGGAACGATTGACTAAGAGAAGTTTCGAATCGTTTCATAAACTGATGATTTTCTAAATAACGATGCACCGTTTACGTAATTAGAAGCGCAACAGGAACCGGGCTTGAAAAAAATGACAAATTATTTGGTGTTATATAAATTGCTTATGGCAATACCAGACAGCTCCACTGGCGTATTATAATAATACATTTTATATCTGACGAAATATAATAAGAAAAGTGTTTCAGCTTTGTGCACAAAAACCTTCTGTTTCCTTCACCATATATGCCAAATAAGGGGACCTTTCGTGGGAATAAATAACCAGTAAAAAAAACCACTGTGCTCTGTTGGGTCACGTCTGTCATAGTACTAGTACAATAAGATATATATTTCGTTAAATTTGCCAGAATTGGTTTTGGAAGGTATTTGAGGGGATATAAAAAAATATTGTCGTATGATTTTTTGCAATGCATTATTGACTAGATCTGTATAGAATATATCTGTTGAGACAAAGACTTTTGGTAACGCAGTTAATTTTTTGGGTATAATAAGAAAAATATTTTACTTGATGGACAACATAACTTGCACCTCAGTATTCAGTGTACTGTAAGTAGGCAAATGACAAATGAGTGAAGCTCTCTTTTTTGTTTCTCTTGAAGTTCGTCGCGGAGAGGAATGTGTTCCGCACATTGTAACCGTGTTGTATGTGCTTCGAATGTCTACGACCCAAAGACACCTTTTTATTAATAGGTGTCACGCTCTGCCACCTACTAAAACTCCAAAGAATTTGTGTTTGATAAACAAAGCAGAAACTGAGCACGGGGATAACTAGAACTGGTTAAAGTTCAGATCTCTGATGCTTGACCAGTTCTGAAATCAGAGGACCAAAAAAAGGAAAAGCAATGATGAGAGGAAGCCAGGAGACTCTCCCTATTAGTTAGGACTGTAAGAAGGTAGTTCGATTAGATAGCAACCTAAAGAAGGAAAACATGATCTAGTACTTACTAATCTAATCTCTGCTTTTTTTGATAATAGATTACATTGGCTATCTACGATGGGAACAGTCCCCGTTTGAAACTACAGAAAATTTGCTAAACTTTATCGCAGATAAAAATCCAGAGCAAGGACCTCAACAATCTCAGGATGAAATAAGCTCATAGTGCCTGCAAACGAATATGATTGTAAAGTTCCTCGAGGCCTTTTGAAACTTTAATCTGTGAAATATTATTCTAACGCAGACTAGACCGTTCACCTAACCATTGATCTTAAAGGGCTCATAACTGAAAAGACGATAAAGAATTTGCTTAAAATATTAAGTTGGTTGAAAATCAATATCCGTTGTTTACCTAATAAATAAGTACAGCGCCTCATCGGAGTTTTGGCAAAAATAGCTTCTCTGTAATATGTAGATACATATATATATATGCCATCATTTGCCACAACCGCTTCCCATCTCTCGACAGTTCGTTGCATCAGAAATGTTCAGGTTTTCTGTTAAAGAACTCATCCGGACGAAACAGTACACAGGAGCAAGGTCTCCGTAATATGGTGAGCGTAAAAGAACTTCCTACCAAAACCCGCGTTAGCAACTTTTCCGAAAAGGGTGGAAAAGGGTGAAAAATTTATCGAAATCTTTGTTTTGGATTACATTGTTTGTTTAATGTGGTCGGGTTGTATACAGACCTTATCGACCGTTTTGTTTTCCCAAAAGGCCGCTGGTACACTGGGCCCGTCTGACCCATCAAGCATCGAACATGGTCTCTTTCGGATGAAAATCTAGTTTAATTTTAACCTAGATGTATCTCCAAGAATTACGTAATCCCTTCTCTTCTTCAGGTTGACATAAAGCCAGTCCATCTCGTTACCCGTGCAAAAATTTCTCACCTTTGCTGCTGGTCCCTCGCTGCCAGGCAAAACGCTGAAAGCTAATACAGCTTAATCCTTACAGTACACACCACAAACATGTTTCGGTAGTTTTTTGATCCCAGCAAAAAACGAAAGAGAATAGATGTAAAAATCACATCTGTTTTTATCGGGAAATTCCATCTTTGGAGCTTGACCTCGATCGAAAATTTTATTCAGTTCACAAAATTATTACAGGCATATGAAGGAAAGAGGAAGAGCCCTTTTGAATTGCAGATAAAAATAAAGACACAGTGAATAAAGATAAAAAAAAAAAAGAGAGAAAACATTTAAACCCCCTTTGTTGAGCAAACTAATATAGAATATGTTTTTGTACTCGTCGTTCCTCAGTTATTACAGGCGATAGGTATCTGGAAGTTTCGTTTTAATTTACCTGCGCTACTATAGTAAAATTATAAAAGAATCTTTCTTTAAACAAATCACAGAATGCATTATAAATCATAGAATGAATATTCGTGAGGCTTCGTTGATTACTCGTCATATCATTTAAGTACATAATAAAGACACTGTGATAGTTAATAACTGAAGATCTTTTCGTGTATACGAACAACAAACCTAGCTCTATGTCAAGTCACTGCCAGCGCTCTGATACCTTAAGAGCAACTGGTCCTCAAGATTTGGAGCCGGTAAGTTTTACTCTGTTAAATTCTATCTGATTTCTTTATTGGGACCTAATTACAGCTTAATCCTGGCGGCAAACAAATATTGTTACTAGTATATGATTTCTTTGCAGCAAGGGTAATAAGTAAAACGCACATAGCTACACAATTTCGGTGCGTATCTGATAAGACTTGGCGACTGAGAAAGTTCTTTGACAGCGATGACCAGAGAAATGACAGAGAATTCGTGAATTTTTCGAGGTGACCCTGGCCATCATATTCATTACTTGTTCGCGGCAAGTAAATGTGGTTCGAGCTGACAGAACGTTCAGCTTTTGGCTTTGAAAGCGCAAACTGAGTAAGTAATCCATTGCCTAGGTACCTCGAGCCCATAAATAAGTACGCTCGTAAGCTATACTTGTACTGGCTCGACAAGTGGACCATGTAGTTTGTTGTCAATATTCTACTGGTTAAATAACCTATAGGATTTGTGACTTTCTACTTTTGAACTTCCGAAACCTGCCTCGCCGCAGCAGCTGTCTCCAATCCAAAGTATTTAGAAGGGAATAGTAAAAGCTCATTGTATAAGAACCGATTGTGGATACGGCTATAAACGCCGAGACAACTTATTGTACATCTTATTAAAACTATACATAAAAAACAGATCTATATCGTTGTTGCTAGTAGTTCCAATGCTGCTGAGACAGGGTCCAGGGAAAGCTTAGACACGGACTGATTTTATGTACGCATAATTTTCATTATTTCGCCTCTATGTGCTGAAACGATAACACCAATATAGTGTTGAACTGCTTTTCAATTAGCAAAAAATGCTATAATCAACTGAAATTGTCGCTAACGCTACCATGTAATTATTTAGAGCAGCCTCTTTGATCAACGAATTAACTGCAAGGATATAGATGACAGTCTAAATAAGGTCTCACATATGGACTAGTATGTTTGACCCTGAGCTTTTCGCTTGAGCCGATATGTTCTATATGCAAACACCAACTAAACAACAACAAGACGAATTCAAGAAGCATAAATATATCCATCTACTCACCTTAAAAACAATAGCTACTTATCTTATGTTCTTGCAGTAGTATTTACATAATTTTCCATGATGACAGACACGAATAATTAGCACGCGTGTGTATGTTAGTACATTTTAATATGAACATATAAAGTGTAATCTTAACGTATGCAAATATATTTTGTTTAAAAAATAAATTTACCATGTATTTAAAATGATATCACTACCTGAATATGGTAATATTATTGGTAAGTACTGGGAATAGGAATAACGAAGAACATCTAATGATTTTTAATTTTGTATAATGTTTCTCTAAACATATAAGACGTTATATACCCAGCGCATGTCAAAAACAAAGGTTCGAACGACATTTACAAAAAAAAATGTTATTCAATACACCTTTTTCGTTCGCAGTCATGCAAAGCAGGTTATCTAAATCCCAGCTTTTCTTTACGAGTTGCTCCGAAGACTGTAACTGTACCAGGACAAACGTTTCAGTTAATTTTTTTAGGCGAATTTAAGACCTAAACTATTTATTAGTCATTCTTAAAGTATTCTCTCTTTAATCTACAAGTAACTTTTTAATATTAACCGTGCCAGTTTTAATATTTCATGCAAGGGCTTGAGATATATATGAAGGTGTAAAAAAGGGGCAAACGGTTTAAGGAAGATTAACACTTGGAGAGTATTTAGGCGACCCAGTTATAAATTGACTTCAAAAATACTGCTTGTTAAAATGACTCTTCATTTCAAAGTAAACAATAGACATCTATCAAAAATTGCTTCTTAAACCATTTTTCATAGATGTTTTAGCTCTTTAAATGTGAACGTTTTCGAGGATTTTTTTTTAACTTGCCTTCTGGAAGTTTTCCTTGGAACTTTTAGAGGCTACGTGAACACCATAGTGCACCCCATCGATTTCGGGCAAAAGAGATGTTTATAATTTCGGTGGCGTTCGTCGCGCGAGCGCCTGTTAAATGATAACTGATCTCTACTTAAATACTAAGTACTACGCAATGTTTCTTACCACGATAAGTTTGCTTTTTATGCCTACGAGATACATGCTACGACAAACAGCCGATCAAAGCATGCCCGGATTCGAATGCTACATATATAATACGAATAAAGACCCTTTTATTTGCTACGCTCTAGCGGTCCCAGGGATACTGCAATGGTAACGTGTTTGCTTACTAAGCTTAGGGACATGGGGTGAGCTAGGCTCGAATCCGACCGAAGACAAGCTTCATTTCATACTAGAAGCCAATCATTTAAAACAACGCCGAATCGGACGTACAATTCAAAACATTTATGATGCTCCAACGAGATCTAGTTTGCCGCTCGTTTGTTACACGGTCTAAACATTCGAAAGCAAAAACAATTCGAACAACCGGGCGTGCTTAAGCAGCTCTAGCGTATTACTCTAGAAGGCGCCAGAGGTGCTTTAAAAACAATTGCTGGTGGAAGTTTATCGATGGTTCTTAGTAACTTATGTTTGTGATTTAGTATGACTGCTGGCGGAGTCCTTTGAACTCACACGACTTCCTTCGTTGACGAATTCGAAATTCAAACACATCTGACTGACTATATCGCTTTATGCCTCTAAGTTTTTCGAATGCAAGATGAGCAGTAGACGGGTTGTACGTCTTGATCGGACAAGAAGTGTAAGTTATCGCCAAGAAACCTCAGTGATGAAATTGGTTGCTTATAGTATTCGTACAGATGTCAGCAGACGACAGATGTTCTTTCAAGTTTGCAAAGTTTTCTCTATTACAAACATACGACAATCATGAGGTGTTTATGTCGAACTTTTAGGTCAATAGATAAACATCAAATTGTTTCAAATATGGTAAACGTCCAGTTAATTAGGTCTAACTGAAAGCGGCATAATTATTTTCAAACAGGGTACAAGAATCTACTTCATTCCGTCTTGTATTTTTATTTAACTTATTTTACTAAACTCAATTATTGACAAGTTTTCTATATCACATAGTTGCCTATTTATAATGGATAATTAGGTCGTGCATGAGTATTTATTTACAATGCACGCACAGCGGAAAAGATACATTATAACGATTTACATGACTTTTTTTAAGATATAATAAAAATCGCGATAATGTCGTTTTTAAATGGATAAGTATCAGTCATTTGCCAACTACAGTCGCCTCACGAATTTTATAGAAGAAGATTATTTGCGGCACCATCATTTTTAGTTATCAGGTGAATTTTTCTCTATTTCGACAGCTATGCCACTGTGTGTAGGAGAAAATCATCATATGTCGAGATATAAATGAAAACTGTGATTGCCTGTTGAACACAATCAATAGGAAAACATTTAGTTTAATTGGTACATTTTGTGCGTACGAGTCACTGCATTACCAGTTGTTCACAAATGGAAAGATGGTCGTCTACTGATGAGAAAACACCTCTATACGTCACAGATGCGACTCAAGTGATTAAACAAAGTCATGATTTTTGCTTTCTTTTGGTTGTCTAATTAAATTCCCTTTGTAGAGTTGAATAAAATCAAATGTAAGCCATATACAAATCAAATGGGGACAGCCTATAGTTAACATCCTTGTGTTGAATTTTATCGCTGTGTTTTCCACATTAAAGTACTCCGTTCGTTCTGTTTTAGCACTTCTGGCACGTGCATTTAGAACGCATCCAGCCGGCCAGCTTTATAAAAGCGTCTTGCCTTTTCATGGGCTATGTACTCTTGGCCTGTTGTATGCCATATCTTTATAGTATGTTGGCTTACGGTTGGCTATCATGTGATTAATGGTCCTTCTGTGATTCTGGGCATACAGCCTAGCCCCAGCTTCGATCGCCTCGCGCACCAGCGATCAAAAATTGGACAATCCATACCAAGTCTTCCTGTCAGCGCTCGACTTGGTGGCTTTGTAAAGAACCCAGCTTCGTTGGATAGAAGCAACAATGGTGGGCAAAACCTGCAAAGCTCCGTCGACAAGGGTATTCGAAAAAGTATTCGGAAGTCGCCAGAAAAGTACGGACCCAGTCCACCTCCATTGTGCTCCTTTATCGCGGGAAAGAACACAGGCGGTAAAGTAAGCGATAAGCAGAGCTTTCCAGCTACGGTGACCGTAAAGAGACCAATTATATTGGGTAAGCCTATGGAAAAAAGACATGATGATGATATATTTTGCGTCCCACGGTGAGTTTGCAGTATAGAAGGCTGTGCAATTTCCTTCAATTCAAACTCCTTCCTAACAATCTTATGTCATATGATGCTGTTGTTCGATATTATTTCGCTTGTCTTTAGAAGTTGCACGACACCGAAGAAGTATTATTACTAGGTTGCGACGGTCTGTAACATTGCTATTGATTGTATCGGCTTTCACATAAATTCATCTATATATTCAGATACATGCATATGTAACGTTTGATCAAAGTTCCTTTCTGGCCGCTTTTCCACCCAATAACTCATCGGATATGGAAGTTATACCTCTGGCCTTTTTGTGTACACGATGAGTTAAACATGAAAAATATATTCTTATACGAATGTTTGTTCCTTAGGTCCTGACGATTCGGATAACGACGACTCTGACGAAAAGTCCGACAGCAGAGACCGGAGTGGTAGATTAATTAATAGAGCCACAAGTGGTCACTCTCGTAGCACTGGCGGTGACAGTCGTCTGGTTCGTCCAAACAGCTTACACGTAAGACAAGCCGTCTTATACTTTGGATCTAGTGAACAGCTAACTTACAACATTGTAGGCGTGCGAGAAACGTACTATCTACAAAAGATGTTTGTTTAGCTAGGTTAAACTGGTAACAAAACAGGGACAAAAAAGGTGGCAATGCTTATCAAAGGTGATGCGAGAAACGAAAAGCGAAAATCAATGGCCTGATATGAAAATTATGGGCGGCTGTGTTATTAGGATCGACTTTCCTGACATTTGCGATAACATGAAGTTATGAAAAAGCGAGAAAATGTAATTTACTTAGAAGGTATTTGTTCCGTGATACCGTTAATACACTAGCTAAACTTGTGTACAAGCAATCAGTATGAAAGAAGCGTATTCGTGCTAATGTAGGCGTCTTGGGTCGATCGCCTGAAAAGGACGGTGCTGATTTTAGGAACGGATCAACCGTAAGGACGGAAAATCGCTTGAGCAGGCCTCGCTCAAGCAGACACGGCGATGGAATTCGCCTGGAAAGGTCTATCCATGGAATTGGTGAGCAACGTTTTCAAATGTTTGAGATTTTGCTGCTTATAAGAGTACATAGGTATAAAGTAAGTCTATTTAGAAATAGAAGCTTAAAGTTCTTTTATTAGCTAAATGTTTAATTTCAGATATCAACACATCGATGATGAGTGGCCTTGTCGATACACACATGCATATTGATTTGTCCCTTTGCTCACTAGGACAATGTGCCGGGATCACTTGGGCAGAGCACTGCAAGGTAAGTATACTCTAAGAGAAATAAATTTTATTACAGATCCTTAAGCCATTTTAAGGTATATCTTTAAATTCTTCCTGGTGATCCCATAAAACAATTTTGTTCACTGAAAGAACATTACATAGGGAATACGTAAAGATACGCCTCAAATCGTTTTATGGTACGTTACGTTTATCATTCATTTCCTGAACGAAAATAAGTTAATCGGGCAGTACCCATTCTTGACTGAAATAAAAACCCCGCTGTTCAAATAAAATTCTCTAAAAACATTTATTATTTATTGTTAAACGACGATGGATACCTTTTTGGAAAACCACGTATTTTACTAATCAAGTAATAAAAAACGTTCGCATAGATTGTTTTGCACCGTGTAAGATCGACTGACCCAAGTTTCAACTAAGTGCTTATATATAGGACTTTTGATAATTTCAGCGGCATTCGGCGCGTTTTCCCACTTGCTACGAAGGTGGGATTGCTGTGTTTTGTCAGCCCGAAGACTTCAAATGTTCATCAGCGATGCTCAATGAGGTATGAATATCGTAACGTTACACACACTCTTACAGTTATATGTTAATTTTTCTATGTTTACAAGACAATAGAACAGTGTCATAATGTATAACGTTGCTGTTATGGCTTGAATTGATTTCTATAATTTGAATTGGTTTCTAGCGCTTCGCTATATAATATCTGGTTCCAAAAACAGGCGTATCACTCAGATAAACTGTGGATGACCTTTGGAGTGCATCCGCATTTCGCTGATCGTTACTCCGAAGATAGTCTTCGAGCATGTCTTCATAAGTTCAAATCAAAAATTGTCGCCCTAGGGGAAATCGGACTCGACTGCTCTCACAAGTCAGTTTCAATATGCATTCACACATCTAATTTACGTTTAAACCATGTTTCAAAATCTTTTAGATAGGCTTTAATAATAATCTTCCTATAGGTTGTGCAAATATAGTTTATTAGAGGTAAAGGCCTATTGTTCAATAAGTTCTAGTGTGAGTCTATTTCTATGTGTCAAACCATAGGAATAATGTCAGTCTGCAGGTTCAGAAAGAGGTCTTTCGATCGCAGGCTGAAATAGGCATTGAATGCAATCTTCCTCTGGTTATTCATACACGGCTTCCGGATGGAAATGCAGAAGCACTTGCTTTTATGCGACAGTTCGTTCCAAGAGATTATCGTATTCATCGACATTGCTTCATCGGGTATGTGAGCAGTAAAACTGTGCAGAGACTGAAAAAATTATACTAACGGATATACTTAACCTTTACAAACGGTATAGGAGAAACAGTAGGAGATATGCTATACTCTCTTAATACAGCTAGCCAATATATTGTATGAAATATGGAAATCGTGGAATATGAAATTCGTATTTTTTAAAATATTTTTGATTTTTATGCTTACTTTTGGCATTTATGTTTTCTTCTACCATGCAGCAAATTAGAGGAAGCTAATGAGTGGCTGTCTCATTTCCGCAATTGTTACATTGGATTCACTCCGCTAATCAACACACAACCCGATCTAATGGAGGTAAATAGTTTATGGTTAGACGGTCGTTAGTGAAGTACTAAGGGTTAGCTAGCGAACGTAAACTTAAAGCGGCAATCATTAATTGCAACATACTGAAGCGGTGATACCGTTTATGATTTTAATGTTCTAGCTAGCCGGGTAGCTTGTCCTTCAGATTAAGGTTCCTCCATATCAACAAACTCTCTTCTGTTTTTTCATAACACTATAACTTTGAAAACTTATCAAACATAAACTACAGACTGAACTCGATATCTCGAATTAGTGGGCTCTCATTGACTAATTTAGGACCTAGTGCTAAAGGTTTTCTATTTATAAGAGTTTGATCTTAAAGGGTTACTATGTTATAGCTAAAATTTACTACATGCTTTTTCATTCTTTAGGTTGCTCGACAAATCCCCTTCGATCGGATACTGTTGGAGACAGACGCTCCGTATTTTCAAAAAGGTCTTCCAATGCTGGAAGATGGGGGACAGGCCGCTTTCACTGTACCTGGTGACGTGATTTATACGGCGATAGGAATAGCGAAGGCGCGCAATATTTCAATTGAAGCCATCATCTGCCAGACGAGATTGAACGCTAAAGCAATTTATGGTATTTAAACAGCCTACGCACTGCTCGCCTTGCAACGAATTATCGAAATATCTTCATCATCTTGTAAACATCTATCAGCATCTTGTCAACGTTGTACGTTTATGTACGTTACGTATACATTATAATAGCTATATATAATGAGAAGTCACTTAATTATCGAGTTTTCAATTTTTCGCCTATGTAACTAGACTATGTTAATTATTAAATATTTCCCTACTAGATATTTTAAGGCTGCGCAGGATTTGTACAAGCCAGCCACATGTTTAACTATAGTAGTTACACTTCTGTTAGCAATCATTGAACATTGAAACCGCTAGTTGTAGTAGTCCATTTTTTAAAAGTGGGCAAAAAAAATGTCTCGTTTATCGGACGGGGGAGTAATCGATTGCGTTTCTTAACAGTAGAAAACCTTGGCCCAAGTCGAATTGGACAATTAAACACGCCGAAAACGTTCTAACAAAGAGAAACGTACATAACGCATGCAGTTAGCAATATCAAATACGTAATAACGATACTTTCACTGTAATTGGGACCACGTAGTCCAATAGCTGGTGAAAGTGTATGGAAGAGGTTATCGATAGGTAAGCTGCTGTAAAAAAAACGCTAATCGGTGTGACTAGTATAATCATGCCGTTAATGTGTTTGTAAAAAATAAATATACACTGAAGTATTACAATTTCACCATAAGAGTCCGTTGCTCTATATATGATGTTTAGATATCGTTTAGCACATATAGCTAATCATTTTTATTCTAAATAGAGAAATGAAGTGTCTTAGAAGTGTTCCAAGCGGCCAAAATTATTGCTTCCTTTTTATTTTCCGCGTTCATCATTCCGACATACGAATCATATCAACGAAATTGTTTGTTCAATTACCTTATTTCAACACAAATATAGTCCTTATTGAGAGGACGTAGGAAAGGTCAGAGGCAGTTCGTTTAAACTGCTTTAGATTTGTCAGGGCAACCCTCTGAGAAAACGGCCTAAGAGTTCCATAATTCAATTCAATATTTAACTTACAAAATCAAAATTACGCAACTATTAAATTAGGCAAACGTGTCTTCAAAATATCATGTATTTTGATAGAGTCAAACGGAATATAGGGACCGTGTTATCAAGCCAGCATGTAAAGTGTTCAAGCAAGAACGCAGCGTGTACGTTCGTAGCGTTTTTTTATCGCTTTCGAGGCGGGCGATGCAATTCTGTCGAACATGATTAAGACTGCACGAAATTTTAGAGCCGCCTTATATGTATTTTGGTTTGTTCTATTCTAGATAAAGCAAAACACAACCGTATAGGGAGATCTCAGATTGATTTTATTTTCTACCCTCCAAATTGCTGTATATTTAAGCGAGGTGTTTGTGACTGTTTCTTTAGTGAGTGCGCTTATCAATTCACTACGCGCCATATATAGTAATAATAATAATAATCTTAATCAATAGTCGAGTGATTTATTTTGTCTTATAGGAACGCTACGGGCCGATCTCCCGCCAGGATTTCAAGTCGAAATCGAGTGGCTAGACGGGAATCGGCTCGTCCTCAGTATCTAGACTTCTTATAAGTCCATAGATTTTTGAGGTATTCATTTTGTCTCGAGCCTTAAAAGGAGCCCTATCGTTTCACCTCCGTTTGTTCTTCTTGTTAGCAATTACCCGTTAATCTGTTCTCTCAACATTTCTGTGACACCTATTTCATTGACAAATATCATAGAGAATAGAAATCTTATATAATTATTACGGCTAGTTTGACGTACACGTATGTGAATTCCTACCTCTATGTAGTTTCTTAGGGGCCACGCTACGATGATCAGTCTTGCGATTTTTCCGTATTGTTCAGAACTGATTATAAGAAGTGTTCCCAATTACCGCACTTATTATATCTTGCTGGCTCGACGGCTTAACGGGCTTCGTACCGCTGTATCTGCCGCTTTCGCCATCTTCTGAAACATCCTAAGTCTTTCCCAATTTTTCTTCATGTTTTCAGGGTCCGCTTGAGTTCTCTGTGGCTGTCATTGTTCTGATGGGTTTTTTCACTCAGTGATCATTACCTACTTTATGTATATACGTTCTATCTATTTTGATCGGTGGAAAAGGGAGTTTAAGGTGTGTCGAATGCGGAATAGTTGGGTGGTGGATCTCTGCGGAAAGGAGATTTTGGGTGAGATGAATAATAGATATTTGCCACGTCCTCGTCGGGTCGTCTGCGCTTCCGCGCGTTGTTTTGGCAGGTAATCCAGGATTGACGACAACAGCCTAAAGCGAGAACCACAATTTGTATCATATCCGTTTAGTTGGTGTATTTGAGTACGGCCGCTGTTGATTTTAAATCCGAGTGATATCGCAGCTTCTGTACTGTCGCGCCTATATAAGGTCGCTATTGAGATAACCGCTACTGAGAGCTGTCGTTATTATCACCTCGAATAATATTTTCTACGTCTATACAATACAGGGCATATTAAATTACGACACTCGAATCAGTTTCATAGTATTCGTCCGAGTGTGACGAGCGACTGTGTAGCTTCTCCAATTCTTATTATTGGGCTTGGATCGTCATCGTATTATCATGAGGATATCGCAGTTTATGTTCGTGCTGTTCGCGTATTGCTTTACTACGGGACATCCTTGTCGAGACACTCGACCATCGTCACATACACTTTAACGTTCTTTGTTGTTTGAAGCTCCGCAAACAAAACAGAACATTATATAGGGATACTTTGTGACGTTGGCAGTTCAATGAATATGGGCCCTCGAACTAGATATAATGGTGAGGTGTTTGCCAAAACTTGCTGGAGGCATCATTAAGCCTGAGGTGATTCAATTATTTAGCTCGTTTAAGAGTAATAATGTGACTATGTTTTCTGCGTGTACATGTACGGCGTTTATGTAAAGTGTTTATTTATATATAGAGTTGTTGATTGTTTATGTATATATGAGGCTGGTTTTCTCTCTTCATTTATTTACAGGTGGTGATCTCGACAATGTTTGTGCACGTCTTGCATTCGACATAACAACACCACTGAAATTTGCATTTGCATCGCTCTTTGACCTTCATACGTTTCGTTGTATAGCCTCGCCCACAGCACATTTGCGAACATCCATCTGGACCTGTAAAGGCAGTAAGTCACGAAAGTGATTATTAAATACAATATGAGCGGTCCAGTGAAAAAGGACGAAGCAATATTATGTACAGAGATTATCTGCAACAAGTGTGCTGGTGGGCTCTTGTCTTCCTGCGTGGAAAATAATCAATCTTTTAAAATTGTACTGTCTGAAAGTTGAGATCTTGTCCTATACCATTTGAGGCCTTATTACATCTTCTGTCTCGAGTGCCGAAGGAACCTGCAGTGGAGTTGAATGTGCAATAATCTGGGCTGTCTTTTATGAAGATCAGGTCATCAGCTGTCGGCGTCCGAATATGTCGCTTCGATCGTACCTAGAAGCGAAAATACGACAACAACAACAACAACAACAAAAGATACAAAGTGACAAAAGATGTTTGTCACTATTGAAGGAATACTGCGAAAATGGATTACTCATAACTGGCAAAGATATGACTGATAAAATGCATTCGGATTACCCTAGGAACTGTGCTACGAAAAACTCGTCCTCTTTGAGGTCATTGTGTAGTACCTTAAGATAAAAAAAAGATCTTTTTCGTCTTTCGATCCACTTATGTCTTGAAGGGTTTAGTCTGTAGATCGTGCATATGCTTAATTTCGTGATAGGAAAATAGGCAGAAGTAAGTTTGTCGAGACTTGTTTACCTGTAGACGACCTCTCTTGTTCAGCTTCACTTGTGTGGCAAGGTCGTATTTATTCCGGATGTGTTCCCCGACCGCTCGAAATGGTGACAGTTGTTTCCAGCACGTGATCACCGAACAGGAGCCCGACACTCCATGACATTTACAAGTAAGACGCATCGCGCGGATTACTGACTGTAACCAAGAGCAAAAACAGAGAGAACAGTTAATACGAAAGGTGCATCGAAAACCAATGGAATATATTGGACGATAATGCAACGCGACTTAGTACAGCGACATATACTAGCAAATACACAAATACGGTCACAATGAAACTGTTCAATAGTCATATGCTTTCATATGATATTTGTGCATTTCGTTTATGATTCAATGTGCATCGCTATCTAATGGTTTGAATGAGTATGACAGGTCATAAAATAGAAATAATGATGGGCTCTTGAAACGAAGAACTATTTTATAGGAGCTCGAAATATCTCGGTTGTCGTAGGTTACGGCATCCCATACGCATCAATGAATGGAATGAGACTCAAATTAGACAAACATATAATTACTAGACGCGATTATTGTCGGAATCCATATAACGAACGATTTTATATAAAGAAGTAACAACAGGAAACGAGAAGCAGGATTATAAGTTTGTCAGGAATGATAGAAATCACTATATTGAATGGCAGTTTAAATTCGTTTTCGATTTAGGACACTATTATGGGATTGAGCCTGACACGTGGTCATGTTACGTGACGTGGTAGCGACGGGTCAGAATAGTCATCGTCTGATAGTGCTCTCTAGAGCAAATCTCATCTTAATTTATTAGAATAATTTTCCTGATGGACACGTACCTTGTCTCGCCGACTGATTTGCTCTATCTTGCTATTAACAAACGACCGTACACAGTTTGGACCATCGTATCCCTAAAACGAGTTTTCGACCTTCCATTTAACAACGTTCGGAATTTATAATAGTCAACCTCATATCTTCTATAAAGCTGGAATTCGCTCGATCCATAAAAAAACTGCTCATTAAGTACGCTAAGAATGTCACATTACAAACATGTTAACTTAGTAATTACACTTCTCAAAGCAAAACAAAAACTTGAGCCTTTGCTAGACCACAAATCACGATCAAGTGTAAATTTAGATCTAGTCCTATAGAATAGTTCACTTTAATACCTGCAGCTTTTCAGGGCGGTTCGAAGCGAATGGTTGAACTCCGCGAGCCTTCGTCTCCCTATTGAAACTTCCCGGCTTCAAACTATGCCAGCGGCCAGGGGGGTTGGCGGTATCGAGACATTAGATCTGACAAAGATCAATGGAGACGATCAAGCGAGTGAAGAGAAATGGCGATCGGGATGATGGGAGCGGGAATGAGGGATACGTGAAGTGGTGCCGGGACGAGAGCAAACACGTACGGAAAAAAGCCTGATCACGGCAGACTTTAAAGCAAAAGAAGAGATGGAAACCAGGTGAACTTGGAAGGTTTGGGGGGGAGGGGTTGCCGCCATGATTTTTGGAGGGGTATCTGTGTACACTTGGAGGGTAAGGCTGCTTCTGCTGCATAAGGGTGAGAAGGGAGTAGTACGAGGGGGACAGGGGCTGACGCCATTTCAGGGCAGCGAACCAGAAGCCCAACACAGTTGGGTTGAAAAGCACATTATAGATAGAGCAGGCGGAGTTCGCCAGCGGAGGATGTCTCTGAGGCGGAACAGCCTCGTCGCGCCGTATATTGACGACTACCTAATAGTAGTAGCTACCAGCAAAACTGTGGCGGGCAGGTATAAGCGCAGGTATATAGCAAGTGGGTGATATTTTGAGCAGAAAGTGAAACATGGCGGAATCGTCGGTATGACGGCAAATCGATTAGGTTAAAATTGTTTGAAACAGTTCGCGAAAGCCACAATGCCGCAAGATCTTTTTGTGTGATTAGAACAGTACGATGGGTGATGGAGTGAGTGGCTTGACTGATGCCGTGACCCAGCTGTTTGATAGTTGCGAACTGTCTGTAAACTATTTCTCCAACTGCTTTCTTTCTACGCCTTGGCGGGGCGTCTAAAGTAAGGAAAAAGGCGCGTAAAATGTAATCAGATTAGATTGATCTTCCTAAAGCTATGAACATTATTAAATGCTTTATCGGAACAAACTTTTGTTCTAGATTATTGGCTGCAGAGATAATAGGAAGCTAGAGTACAGGTCAAAAGTAAGGTGAACCTTACATTTATTGCATACACGCGGGCAGAATCGACAGTAAAAACTGTAGCTCTTTTAAAACTATATAGTCTGGGTGCAATTCGCAGTCGTAAAGTAACAGTTACATAACAAAAATACACTTGAATCACTACAAAAAGTTTACTGATTTCGCCTTTCGTGATATACAAAGAAAAGCAAACTAGAAGTACTTCTAATACATTTTTTATTCCGATCGCATATAAATCAATAATAAATGCATGAAATGTGCAAGTGTGGTATATTTATTATGTGTTTGCGGTCTTTCAAGATCCTATTTTCACAACCTCCTTAAGTCGTTGATGGAGGATGAATTTTGGGGTATTCACACGAATGGGCACTAAGGACTAACGAAAACGTTGATACATGGTGTATTAGAAAACAATTATTATGACAAAAAAATCTGAGGTATGGTATTCGTGCAAAAAGATTGGTTGTAACAACCATAGGTGAAAAATCGACGACATTTTGACCTGACAGTGGAGCACGTCGTTGAGGTTAGCACCTTTTAGACCTCTAATGGCTTAATGTTAGTTTTCCCTATCGTTTTCTTATAGTACGGAAACGGTAGATTTTCTGATGCACTCGTGAAAAATATCGTAGCCAAATTGATCTTTTTAGTTATTTTATACTATGTTTTTGGTTTATATTTTTAGTCATCTTATTACGTCATAGCAATAATAAGAACACTTATTTTAAGAATTGCACTTCTTTTTTCTTATTTTATATTGCATTTTCGTTTACTGCATAGATGACATTATAAAAAACCTATTCACGACGTCTGCGATTTCTCTTGAGGATATGATTACCCAGAAATGTTATTGCATGCTATAGTTTTTGCGTGCTTGGTACATTCAGCAAAGCATACGGGTCAAAAAGGTAGACAATTTTTCGTGTCGCTGCTTCGCCACTTCATGCCCAGATATACCATCCTGCTGGATAATTCTTGGCTTTCCTTCCATTTTTTTTTGTTTTGTATCCTTTCCTACTTTCTCCTGGTCGTATGGCATGCACAGAGTGCGTTCATCCAGAACTCGTCATTAGTAGCACGATCACCAAGAGCGGTGTCTTTGTAATGGTATTGTGGCCGACAAATTACTGATGGACAAGCGATTATCTAGCGAAGAAAATTCGAGCCGTTGAGACAAGGTAGGCTACGCTATCATCAACAAGAGCTGGGCGGTAATCAAAGATTCGTCGATGAACGAAGACCTTGTAGGAGCAGCTACTGCAGCAGTCGACAGGAGTGGCAATATATTGGCTGGACCTTCCTCTTGTGATATATACATCAAATCATCAGATCGTCAAATCAAAACGTTTCTACTCGTTGAGTTCCTCGCATCAAAAATCGCTTTTGGATATATAGCACCAGCATGGCTACGCGGTGACCATCCATCTACTGATCTGAGATAACAACATTTTCGTGTTGTCATGCGCGAATATCTGAGCAAGTCGCAATGTCCTCTTCGGTATATTACTAAATATAAATTTGATAGATAACAAGGAGGAATACGATATGCCAAAACGCAAGTTCAGTCTGTAATAAGCTTGGTTTTCTTCAGCTAACGAAAGTCAGCACTGAGCATATAACAAACAATAGGAGCCCATAAAACAACGAACAAGTACACCCATATGTCTTAATTCTATTTGATCATTTTCATTATGAAGTATTTCCAGAACAGTGTTTATTCTGCGCAGATGGGCTGTCAACGACACCGAATGACCAAGCACATGAACCACATGAGGTTTCTACTAAACCAGCGTCCACGAACCATTGGTCGCTCTTTACTGTATTATGGCAACAACCGTGCACTGTATTTCGACGTGTACATCTGTAACGCATATCGATTAGGTTAAATGTGTAACCCAAATTTTTCGGCTAGCTTGAGTCGCTGCCTTCTGGTAAAGTGTCCTGAATAGTTATGTACCTGTCTCTTTCAGTTCGCAACACAGGTTGGGCAAAAACGCGAAATCGTGCGTTCAACTATGACAATGCTACATTTCGGCATAGGCGAATAAATTTCTACAGCCTTTATAGCGCTAAAGTTCTGCTATACGAAGTTAATTATGTTTCAACTTCTCGACCGATTATGACCGCATGGGGTCTCACGTAGTGATTCGCTGTGAGAATTGTACCGATCGATGTAGGAAGATATCTATTTTATGTACAGCTGGCTGTCGCCATTTCCGTTACCAATGCCCTCGCCCAGGCTGCTGCTGTTAGCGAAGGTTCCAGTGTTGACGGCATTCTTTTTACCCCTGCGTGTTTTCCTACGTGTAGACTTCGCTTCTGAGCCAGATGCAGGTCGCTGCTACCCCATCTTATGTATATGCGAGAATGCCGACCAGCCAATCGTTGGCTGGCATGTAACTCGCAGGCGCTTTACATACTATACTTGGTGCGTTTATAAAGCAATATGTCAAAACCTGAAAGGAAGAGCTAGGCCAGCATCAAGCAGCAGTTCCTTCGTGAGCCCCTCGCGTAGACCAACTCTGGTGCGTATCAATAGGAGCTGAGTAGGACTGCCAGGGGAGGCAGTTGCAGAAAGCAAATGTAACGGTATCACCGAGGAATAGCTTTGAGCTAGGGCTCGTAGATACCACAGCACGCTGAATACCTACTGCTGGGCTTGGCCCAGCTGCCGAGTTCAACTCCGCCGCTGCAGCTCGTCAACCCACCATTACGGCTACAAGGACTGTTATTTCTTGAAGCGTCTGAACAGTTCCATAACAGCAGCTCACACGCCATATACAAATTCGTCCCAATTTTCAAGTCTTTGACCCAGCAAATAGCTTTTTTTCATACGAACGACCGTAGTATTGGAACGTCGTAAGGGTATATTGGTAAATAAAGAGCACAGCGAATCTTAATGTGCTCGGTAGGTGACTTGTTGGGAACACCACACACCAATGATATGTCTAGAAGTATAATAGGGCGTGCAATTAGTGAACTCTGAGGAGTTACAATATAATAGATGGCAACGTATTCCATGTCTCTTAGACCGACATTTCAAGTCTTATTACTCAGGTAACGGACTTCCTGAGCAGTTCATGTCACATTAGCTCAACAGAAAAACACATTCAATCATCTAGTAGTTTTTCTCTATCAACCACGCGATGAATTTCTCAATGCTAAAACAACAGTCAGAAGCTAGACTAAAATAAAGAACACAACGGCTGATCTTGACACATGTGTATTCGCTAGCGTTGAACCGAACGTTTTGAGCGGGTACGAGTGTGGATCAGTCCGTTCACGCATCGACGTCCGGAACTGGTGAAGCATCTATTTGGAGATACACTCTTTGAAATCATCCGTATCTCATATTCGTTGTACTTCGCGAGAGTGCATACCTGCCTTCATCTTGTTCCTGAGTAAAAGCAAGGAAGCGTAAGTAAAAGTACCGGATGCGTTCCTTGAACTAGAGATCATTCTTCAGTGTCACAGTGTAGTTGACGATACGAGAGACTTTGCCCTGTTAGCTTCTGGGATCTGTTTTCTCTTAGTTGAATGTTGTTGTTGTCGTGGTGGTTATTGTATAGATCGAGTTTGAATAGTAAATTCTATAGTAATGCATAAAGCGTTTCCTCTCAATCTACTTCATTGCTGTCGAGTACAACAGCCGCCGGTCGTACTTAGACCTGCGGATGTCTTTAATAATATTATTCAGCTGTGTCGCCCTCCTATCTTGTTC